ATCAAATGAAGGTGCCACATTATACTTCTCATGAATTCTTTCTTGCATTACCTTCGGCTTCAGTAGAGGATCATTTCGTAGCTCATTGATAAACATGTCACAGATCACACTCTCAGTCAATATCTTACAACGCTGATCCTTGTAACATGAATGCTCCTCTTGAAATGACTTAACCATCCATTGCGACATAGATTCCTCATAAGAGCAGTAAATTCTCCATGTGCATTTATCGATACCATATTGAGCCCCATATTTTGTAGCTCCCCATCTCATGTACTTGATATTCCAACCTCCTTTTAAGGCGTATCCAACACAGCCTCTCTAAACTCTTTCGAACTTTCAAAAACTTGCCTAATCTTGAGCTCTCCACTTCCTCTTCTCCAACGATCATAGAAAACTCCTTCAGAATCTGCTCTAAGAGGAGTTCGTTTGTAGTCATCATTCTTTTCCTCATCAACAAATGTAGCAACTATTTCTTCCACACGAGCTTCCTCATTACACATCTCATCGGTTGCTTTTCCTTTATCTCTGTTCTCCTCTATTCGCTCCTCTCCTTTGTTAACTCTTCCTTCATTATCTCTGCTCTCCTCTATTCTTTCATCTCCTTCGCTAACTATTCCTTCATTATCTCTGCTCTCCTCTATTCGCTCATCTCCTTCGTTAACTCTTCCTTCATTATCTCTGCTCTCCTCTGTTCGCTCATCTCCCACATAGTCTTCATCTTTCTCCATGTATATCTCAACTGTTTTGCACCATACAGCCGCTGCACACATCTTTGAGAAGTTGTCAACACCATTACATAAAACCATAAGCTCGCTCAAGTCTTCATATGGCATTTTGTACCACACTCTCTCACCGTATAAGCTCACAGGAAAGCTTTGATACAATGCATTTGCCGGTGTAACAAGTTCAGTAACAAAGGCAACCCCTGTAAGAAGTCGTACCATCCTCGTGTGTTGTGAAATGCCCTTCATGGTTGATGAAAAATACGGTATCCAAACCATCACTGAAAAAATCGAAAATATAGTAAGAAGCGAAGAATTTTATATGACCATTGATTAAAACAATACAAAGCATGGATTAAACAAATCATAAAGCATCGATTAAGTAATCAAAAATCATTGATTAAACAATGCAAAAGCACCGATTAAACAAATCAATTTCAATTGTATAATAAAAATCTAAAATATTGAATTACCTCATTTTTATTAAAGAACGGGACCTTAGAAGTCCACTGGACTCGATTGCAATTGTGTTGATGATCCACACCACCAATTATATTGACAAACAAAATAACGCAGACGAAAATAAGATCTCTTGTAAAATCGCAGTCGCTGAAGAAGACGAAGAAGCTGTAGTAGGGTTAAACAAACCAAAGCCAAAACGACGTCGTTTTGGGCAAAAAAAAATTGGATTGTTTGATTGCTAAAACGACGTCGTTTACTCGAATGAGCCACGTTGGCAACCACCTGGCTGCTGAGTCGATGTCGTTGACGGAGTAAACGGTGTTGACTAACGGTATAGTGGTCAATGTACTATTTCGCCAAACGGTATTAAACTGAGATATTAATATTCAAATATATAGGAGTTGGGGTACTATTTTACACATCAAAATAGTATGTGCTCGAATCCACTACATCTTTGATAGTTAAGGTACTAATTGGCCGCTTTCACCTCTAACATACACTAAATTAAATCATTTTAATAAAGATAATTCAGTTCAAAATAAAAAAATGACTAAAATACATAATTTTTTTAAATCCACTAAAAATGCCCTAGTACATTCAAACCAATAGTTAAAACGAAATTTACATTAAAACACTATAACTTTTTAAATTGTAAAAGGAAAATATATTTTAAAAAAATAATCAATTAAGAAAAAGAGAGAAAACATATGTAAAATATGAGCATAATATAAGCAGAATATAAGCATGTTAAAAATATAACATATATTTTGAAACTTAAATCAATTAAATGGTTATTAACTAAAAATAATCAGTTACAAAATTATAATGAATTAGTTAATGTACTATTAGCGTATTATTACTACCAATTGCAAATGCTATATCAAAAATTACTTACTATTTTAATATATATTAACGTTTTGACTTTTTATAATATTAGAGGAAACTTAACGATGATTTTGATTTTACCACATGTACGTTAACGATATCATATTAATTATAAATTTATAGCAGATTTATCAAGAGATCATTTCAAAAACACAATTTGGTTAGTGAAATAAAGAAAACGAGTGTGTGCAACTAAGCGTCACCATGTAGATGCTCAGTATCTCAGTCCTTCATCTTTCAACCGTCCGATTTTTCAGCCTTCGAGTCAAACCCCGAGAATACGCACGTGGCGCTCATTTGCTTTCTAATCATCTGCGTCGCGTAGTAGGGTATTCTTTCCGTATTCGAAAGCTTGAGTCGTTGATCTACGAACGCCAAACAATCCATCAAGCTCTCCCTCGCCGACCCTTTTAAATCGTACGCTTGAGATCTTCTCCACAAACTCTTACCGTGGGGATCATCCACACCAGATAAACACAGAGCTCTAGTAGCATCACTTATGGCGGACTCAGCTTTCTTCAACAACAAGCAACACTGTGATCTGTTGCTATACAACACAACCCTATCTCGTATCATATCCAACGGACACAAATCAATCGCCACTGTATAAATCTCCATCGCTTCTTTAACAAAACCCATCGAAAACTTCTTCTTCCCTTGTTTCTTCAAGGATTTCACCATCTTTCTTCTCTCTTCAAGCTCTGTTTCACTCATAAGTTTCTCCTTCTTCTTCCTCTCTACTTTAACCTCCCAAAGAACCTCTATACATCTCTGAGCCTCCTCCCTACTCATCTTCAGGCCACTATACTTAATCTTGTGGTAATCTTGTAAAACTATCTGAGCTACTCTGTCTCCAACAACCTTATCTTCTGCTAAATCCACTAAACAATGCCCTAAAACATCGATAACTCGATACCTAACATTCGAGTCTTTAAGAAGCATTAAAAGGGTATCTAAAGCCATTTCTTTACAATCATCAGACGATCTCGAAAGATCGCAAAGTCTCTCAATCACTTCTCTAACCTCACTTACTTTGTTTCTTCCCAGCTCTGTTTTACAAAGAGTCTTGATCAATTCAACTCCTCCAGGAGACTTCCGGTTTACTAAACCGCCCCACATTTCACTCACTTTCTTCAAGAAACTTCCCTCGCTGATTCGATCAATGGACTTACCTCGCGATGCGAAACAATTCAATAGATATAAAGACCAACATTGTAGCTGAATCCCCCATTCCTCTGCTTTTTGATTCTCTGTCTCTAACCCACCAAGCCCTTTCGTCAACAAATCGCTTTGATACTTCAACCTCAAGCTATCTTCAACCCCAAGAAACCCTCTGTAAACATTCTTCAAACAAGTAGTCGCTATCTCCATGGAAAGGTTCACGATTTCTTCTTCGAACAAAGAGATTGCTTCAAAGCTCTTCTCGTGGCTAGCTAAGTTACCAAGTGCTCGAGCGGCGGCTCGCTGCTCAACCCAACTGATTTTCCCTCTAAGAAGCTCCAACAAAGCAGGAACAACAAAACCCTTTGAATCAACCGCTCTTGCAGCTAAGTCTTCCTTGTTCATAACATATGTTCCGATGATATGGGCTGCGTAATAAGGAATGAATATGTTCTGGTCTTTGAGAAGCCAAGATGTGTTTTGGATTGATTTCTGTATGAGTTTTGACATACACTCGAACAAACCGAGCGATGGGAACTCAGGATCGTCGGGCTCGGACATGGCTATGTTCCACAGACCACTCAAGACCAAGACATGGTCTTTTGACTCCGTACGAGAAATCTCTTTGAAAATTGAGGCGAGCTTCGATCTTCGACGAAAAGGGTTCGTCTCTTTCATGCTGCAGAAGAAACAGGATGGATTTGTGCACTGTTGTTCATCGGAATTGAGCATTTTCTTCTTCTTTTTCTTTAAATGATCTTCTGGTTTCTTGAGGGAGAAAAATAATAAATCTTGAAAGAGAAGAAGACACTAACCACACAATTATGCTTTAGGACAAAAGACCAAATAATTCTCTCTTTTGGATGAATTAGTTAGTGTTTTAGTTACAACTCAAAAGAAAACGAATACTAATAAAAATTCGCCGGCGTGGAAAGTTTATGGCGACTCCTCTTTTTAGCCTTTATTATTCCACTTCAAGTTCCAAGATTAGTTTAGTTAATAATAAGGTCTCACAAAATGAATTAGAATACTAATATACATCAAGGTATCGTGTTCTTTACCCGAAATTAGGTTTACAAAGAAAAACCAAAAAGATTTGTGTTCACATATGTGATACTGATTAGATAATAATACCCATGGTGGTTTTGACATCTTGATGTGATCGTCTATAGTCCAAATTTAATAAATCATTTTTTGGTTACGTCTAAGACTTTCTCATGTAGATGCTCAAGAATCACATAAACTTTCTTTGGATATCAAACAAAGTTGATGTTAAGATTTTTGAGACTTTTCAAGATAAGAACGGAAAGCTTAAGCATTTTCATCCAATTTAAGTCCGAGTACGACGTTACGCTTGTGGGATACTTAAAGATTTATGTCTTGCGTTCATACACACGATTTTAAATGTATAAGAAATACAGTAAGTGAAGTTGAATTTGCGGTCCCCTCAAGAAGAAAGCCAATGAGAGTGAAGCAACTGTCCACATATGCAAAGGTTTTGTCGTCGTCTACAAATATCAAAAGTGTTGTTTGGGTCTCAAGAAAATGCGGCTACCTAAAAAGCCTCTCTTTAAACTCAATTAATCATCACTAATATTTTGGTCTTTACAGGTAAAAAATAATTATCACTAACCTGACTCATCTTCCATTTTAGTTATTTCTTTTCCAAAGATTCGCAAAATCAAGAAAGCCCCTTTTTAAGAAAAAACACTTCAGAGTTCAGGCTAAGTTCTCAACTTGACATGTGTATCTGTCGGAGAAACTCAATATTTTAACTATTTACTAATATAGAATCAAACACAATGTTTTAGTTTAATTACAACCACTTAATCCGCGTGCTTATGTTTATGGATTATTGTGCACAACAATCACATGAATTCTCCACAAGAAAAGCTCTCAAAGATTTGAATTTATGAATCAGAAAGGGTCTTATGATATAGAACAAGGAAAAATAGCCTATGATAATACGATTCTAAGTCACTTAACTATGCACAAACCCTGAAACCTATTGTGGTCTCATAATTCTCACAAAAGCCAAATGCAAAGAGTTAGTGGAGAGATAAAGAATGAACATGAATATACCAAATATTACTACTTTGGGAGAGCTTTATGGATATGGGTTTTTGCCTGATCAAGCAGGATGATGAGGCTCTGTACATAGAGGACAGATAGAGAGAGAGAGCTTCAGTGAGAGGTTCTCTGCCTCTTAGTGACCGGTGAAGGATCTTCTTCTTCATCTGCTACGCCTGTAATCTCATTCATTAGCTTCTTGAAATATTTAAGCTTTTCTTCGTCCGTTTCTGCATCATCATCGATCTCTGGTTCATCCATCAGCAGCTGGACAACAACCATGATACTTTTGTCTCAACTCCAAACAAACATTATACTAATATGGAAAATGTTCTTTTAATTCAAAACATTTCTTACATCTTCAAGGATAGTGTGAAGTCCTAAGCCTCCAGAAAGTGGAGAGTTGCTATTCAAACATTGTCCATCGACTTGAACAGGAGGAGCTTGAGGTATCAATAAATCTACCGTATGATCAGCAGATACACGTTGCCTCCCAATCTGCACAGTCGCTTCTCTCTGGTTATGAGCTACAGTTCGAGTCATCGGTGATGTATGAGCAGCCTGAGATCCGCACATCAACTGATCAACACGAGTCCTCAATCTTTTTGCTTTGTCCTGCGCCTCATCAATCTTACACAAAATCTTTGCTAGGGAATCATCAGAACAGTCTAACGCAGAAACAAAACAATCATCTTCAGGTTCGTCTTCCATGCCCTTGGCTTTGCGGCCTGCACCAGAATCTAAACATAACAATTGAAGATTTAGTGCTATAGTCCCACATCTAATACTGAGATAGTGGAACAATGTGTATAGATCTCACCTGGATCAGGATACGGAGCTTTAACAGTTGTTGGCTTCCGCTTTTCTGAACACAAAGTTGGATCACAAAGTTAAGACCATTGTAGTGACAATTAGAGAAAGTTAAACGAAGCAAAGACAGTGAAGAAGATACCTGCATAAGAGAAAACATTATGGCTAGACATGTAAGCTGCAACATCTGTTGTCTCTTCCACTCGTTTCCTTCTTCCTCTCTTGAAAACACTCATCCTTTGAGTTTGGTCGTTAAAAGGAATCGATCTCCCATCAAAGCCATCCAGCTTCGACTTGTCAAGATCAAACTGTTTACTCTCGTAGTAACTTTTAACTTCTTTATCATACCCTTTTGCTTGAGACTCGATTTCTTTAGCCTTGAGCTCTAACCACTTACATCTCCACATTAATGGCTGACAAAACCGCCTCCACTCATCCGTTAGCTTCTTCTTCTTCAAACCCAAAACCTCAGTCCCATCACCGAAAGTCTCAGGCAATGGATAGTCTTTGCTCAGCATCGATTGGGCTTCAAAACCAGAACCATCATCATCATCATCACGAGCACACATTGAATCACCAAAAGAACTCGAAGAGGAATGACACAGAACCTCATCTTCCTCTTGAAACTCATCCATCTGATTTCCACATTCCAAGATATCAACTTTTACATCTTCTGGTTGTTGATTTGCAGAACAATCTGAGATATCCATTTCAGCTCTTGGCTTTGGTTTAAGCGCCATAAACCCCCACCAAAAAAGCCTTCAACTTTATTCTGCTACAATCCAAAACAAAATCAGAAAATTGACTGAGACAATGAGATTAGACCCAATGTATGAAAAGCCTTGACCTTTGTTCTTGCTACAATCCAAAACAAAATCAGAAAATCGATAGAGACAATGAGAATAGACCCAAGTAGGAAAAAAAAGGATTCAGCTTTGTTCTGCTATAATCGAAAACAAAATCAGAAAACCGATTAAGACAATGAGATTAGACCCGAGTAGAATAAAGCTTTCAACTTTGTTTTGCTATAATCGAAAACAAAATCAGAAAAAGAAAAAAAAAAACAATTGAAACGAAGAGATTAGACCCAAGTAGGAAAAAGCAGTCAGCTTTTCATGCGAAATCTAATTTGATAAAGCGATGAAATTTGATCATTCTGATTCCAAAGCCTAAGTGGTTCCAATCTTATAACCAATAAGAGAAAATTTACAGGGAAATTTCTCGAAATCGAGTGATTCGCTAATCTTAGAGGATATCACACATGCACGAAAGCTATTTGATGAATCAGAATCTGTTAGCGTAAATCCAAATTTCTTGGAGAGTCTTAAACCCTAAACCCTCGGAGAGAGAGAGAGAGAGAGGGAGAGAGAGAGACAGAGTCAAGAAAGTAAGAAACAGAGAAGAGAGAGATATTCACCAACTATTCCGAGAAATTGACTGACCGGTTCTCAAATCGCAGTCGAATCCAAAAAGAAAGAGGCTTTTTAATCCCAAAATAATTTCGCAAAGCTGTTGTGTAAAACTTATTAAAGTTTGTTTTAATTGATTGTAAAATAGCCTATCACCAATTTTTAATATATTTTCTAAAATTAATTTATTCAATATCTTCTTTCTTTTTTTGGTTTCTTTCTTTTTCCTTTTCTTCCTTTTCTCTTCGATTCTCAAATGATTTTCTATGATTCTCATCAACGTATATAAAACACTATAATAATAGTTTTTTCATATAATTCTCAGAGTAACAGATATCTTTTGTGAATATCTTCTCAATCCAGACTAATTTTTAAAAACACCAAACTTCGGCTCCAAGTTATTTGATTTCTTTTTATTATTTTGGAAAAAAAATCAGCAAGTATCGAAATCTCAAAAACAGCAACAAAAAAGTTCAAATTTATCTTATGTCAGTTTTCTGGTTTCATATGCAATTAAGTTCGGATCGACGAAACTGAAGAAAAAAAAAAGTAGTAAAACTGAGTCCAGCATGTTACAACAAAATAACCAAATACAATTTGTATAATTTTGAAACAATTACAACTAATATAATTAACATAGTACACCTGATATAATAACTCTTGCATGTATAACATAAGAAGGTTCAATTGTTCAAAAAAAAAAAAAAAAAAACATAAGAAGGTTCAATTAGTTAATTCATAATAACAATTAAATTAGTTAAAGTAAAACTGAAATAATCCAGTTATTGTTACAAAAAAAAATGTTGTCGACGATTACTCTCCCCACCATGGGAAGCGATCACGGAGCATTTGAGAGGCAAAAAGAGAAAGAGGTGAAAATCAGACGGTTAAAATGGGAGAGCAAGTCTGGGAGAGAAATGGTAAGAGACCCAAAAAAGTAATCATAAGAAAAATATGTGTCAATTTTGTTTTATTATGCATTTTGTGAAATTTCTTATTTCCATTTTTACATTTTTTTTACCACAAATACATCAATTAATATATTTTTAAAAAATTTCCCATATAAATGCACTGTTGTTCTTGGAAATTAGTGGATACCATATATACATTTGTTAATATAAAAAGAGGAGCATTGCCACAAGTATTTTTGTTGGGAAATTAGAAATAAATGTGATTTCAGATACTATAATTTTAGTTTTAAAAAAAAAATCCGGTAAAAACGCGCAATGCCAAATACTGTACTGTATAACTTGATTTACATAATTTCTTATTTTTCTAGATATTAATCTGAAAAACAAAAAGAAACATTAATTGAATGCACTTTTCTGCACTATACAATCTTTTACATGTATATGAGTAACGAGAGTAAAAAATTAATGAAAAGGATATTAGACTTTTGATGATTAAAAACAAAAAAAAAGTTGGCATTATTTACTAAACAATAAAGATCATTAAGACAGATCACATATGATATGCTCTTGTCTGAACAAGACCAAACAGTTTGTATGATATAAGAGATGAAAATAAAGGTACTAGGTTATTTATATAGGTTGAAGTTCTTGCTCAGCGACTATGGCTTCATCGACAGGTTTATATGGATTTGATGTTAGTTTGCGTTTCCACATCAACCAAACTCCATAAGCTAATAACCCAACAATTACAGCGATGATCCCAATTGCTGTCACGACAATGATGTTTTTCATCTGCCACCTTGTCCTAAAACCAAATGAAACAAAAAAAAAGACTTTTCTTTTGAGACAGATGCAGTGATGATGATCTAATCTATGGTTGCACTTAAAGAAAGAAAATGGCTTACCGTTTTCTTGGAGGATCGAGTTTGTAATCAACGAGCTGATAGTTTCCGAATACGTCAGGCAGCTTGATTTGGTGATTCGTAAACCGAGAAACTATACTCTACGAAGGAGAATAATCGAAAGGTCGAGTAAGAAGATGATAATAACATGTAGTAGCAATGTAAGGAGAAAGTTTACAGTAAAAATCAAACACCGTTGCTGTGACGTTCGAAAATAAGCTGGAAGATTCAGTAGGGACAACAACTATTCTGAAGAGAGAGTTGTTTCCTTTGGAGGTGAGATTCGATAGATAGACCTGTGACGGGATTACTCAAATATTAGCAGACACACACACACAAAAAACAGTGTCTAAGGCTTTGCAAGTTATTGTGTGTTTATCAATTTTGGCTTAACCTGTGAAGATTTGATATCGAGCTCCTTGGAGAATATCTTGGAGAGCTCTTCAATGCGAGGTTTCAGATATGAGGAATTGACTGTTAGTTGAATATCAAGGTTTATTTGACCAATTTGAGTCTCCCCTGAGGAAAAATATGTACAAAAACATCAGGAGACATGGACATAGAGTTCTTCTTTAGTTGCATTTTCTTGGACAAAAGAGTTTAGATTAAATCTACACACTAACCTGGGAGATTGCTTGATGTATTAAGGGTTGGATCTGAAACATTCGAAGGCAAAATTGCAGGTAGTGGTACACCATCGATATGAAGCCTATCCGATAACTCTGAACAATTCGTTCTCCAGAAACCAACCTTAGAATTCTCACGATCATACACAACAAGTGTGTTCCGAACCACAATTCCTGATAACAGAAGCTTTTTCGTTACCAATTAAAAACCAAATAAAGGTAGCCAAAAAAGAAGAGAATGATATTAACTATTCACCTCCTAAAAGAGTTGTATGATCTTTCCCATTTGGGAAAACACCGAGACAGTATGCACCATGTACCTTGGAATGCTTTTATTGAACAAAAAAAAGTAAATCATATCAGAAACTATAGAAAGAAAAAAGACACTCTACATAAAAGGTTTCACTTACTCGGAACAGGTAGTTTTCAGGTGACAACAGCCATGATTGTCCACTCTTAAACATCATCTCGACCGATGGGAATATCTTCGAAAGTCCAGAGACATCGTTACTTGAGATATAACCCAATCTAAACTGTCAGTGACTTCACTCGTTTGAAAGGTTTTCAAATAGATCACAAGCTTGCAAAGACATAATATAATACCTTGTAGCAACATGGAAACAAGTATCTTTAAAATTTGGATCAGGACCATCGATCTGCTTCAATGGTGAAGCCTCTCTCATTACCTACAATACAACACAATGTAAGAGGAAAAACCGGAAACTGAACCAAACATTACCAAATTTCTCAGAAACAAACAAGAACAAAAAAAAAACTCTTACAGCTTCCTCAAATGCTGCAAACGCTGCGTCTGGGAGATAAGCATACGTCGTACCACTGTCTAAAACGGCGCCGTGTTCTCCGTCAAAGACTCTCGAGTTCAGCGGCAACTGCTTCCCGGCGACGCGTATCCCCGTCAAATCTATATTGTAATATGGACTGTCGCCATCCCGAAACTAGAGTAAATGTGTGAAAGGTATTAAACGTATCCGTCAGGATTATACAAGATCCCATTCGACCAATCAGACAGAGCAGTCCCTTTTACGAAACATACCTACGATCAGGGTCCGAGTCAGTGAAGATCATATCAGACGGGTAAGTGAAACCGCCGAGAACCATCGAGCCTCCACCAACATCCATCCCTCCATAACACAAACCGAAAGAGTTGCTTATCAAGCCTTTATCCACCAACTGATCCACGAGACTGAGATCTCCTTGGCCTAACCCTATAATGCCATCGGCGCGTTGGCTGTAAAGATCGCCGGTCTCCACGGTTTCGCAGCCGAAGACAGCTCGCTGAGGTGTAAGCTGGCTTTCATTGCCGAATGATATGAGATCTTCTCCAAGCACACCTTTGCTACTGCTGTGTTCAGCGTACTCTCTCTCGTATACGCATTGTTCCTTATCGTCGTCGCAGTTACAGTCCATGTTACACTTCACGGGTTGATAGGTGCTAGACATTTCCGGCTGAAATTTTGGGTCCTGAATGAATGATATCATAAGATAAAGTAAGCACACGAGACAAGGGAACACAAGATTGAAACAGCCCTTTGCCCATTTCAAAGCAAGATTTCACAAAAAGGAAAGATTTTTGTGGCCATGATGATGAGCTATGAGCTTTCTGCAAATAGTTTTTAGCAATTTTGAATTTTTCATAGTTAAAAGCGGAATCAAGACAAGATTGAAAAAGCCCTTTTGCCTATCGAAACCAAAATTTCAAAGTAAGCACATATTCTATCTTATCAAGATTTCACAAAAAAAAGGAATGATTTTTTTGAGGGGACATGATGATGATGAGCTATGATCTTTCTGGAAATGGGTTTGAGCAATTTTGAATTTTTCGTTGTCAAGAGTGCAATTTGGATAATTGAGAGCATTTACCTGGTGTTTGCCACATTGTTCACAGTCGGAACAAGGAACGTAAGTGACAGTACTCCCTGAATCCACTATAAGAGCAAACATCTGCGGCGGCGTACCAATCCACAGCCGCGTCGTGTAATAACTGCGAAATTGATAAGAGACAATATAAACGAATCAGATCGGAAAACCCTGAAAATGACGAGCGAATTTCGTAAGGCAGTCGTTACCCATTAAGAAGAAGATCGTCGTAGAGTCTCATCCGAGAGTGAGGCAGTGGTTTTGAGTCGTCCTCGTGTAGTTTCCGATGGTGAATAGACACGGATCTCGAAGAAGAAGAAGAGTTAGCTTGAGAGAGAAACAACGGGAACACCATGGGACGGCGTGATCCAGCGACGGGAAGCGATTGGTGGAGGATGTTTTCACCAGCCGCATTTGAACAGGGGAGGGAGAAGTAGATTATGAACGAGAGCGTCGCGCCGATCGACGCCAGCGCCATCTAATTCGCCGGCAGAATTATCCGATGTGACCGTACTCGCCGGAGAAAATGCGAGGGGGATAAAAAAGAGACGAGTGAGAGTGAAGAAGAGGGGACAAAGTCAAATGTCAGATCTACGGAACCAAAGCCGCTTTTGCTTTTAGACAAAACCCAGCAACGAGGCCTAGTAAATCTAAAAAACGACGTAGTTTTATGGTTATTATAAGCACCTTTCTTTTTTGTTTACTTTTTAACGATTTTATTATAATTTTACTTCCAAAAAGCTAAAACTTCAGAATTTTACTTCCAAATTCTGAAATTTCTGAATGAATTAATGACAAATATTACAGAGCAAACGTCACATGCTTTCTGTTGGTCACGAGTCACGACCACACTTAAGCTTGGTGAAGTGCAACTATAATGTAGCTAAAGAAATGTTCAAAAAAAAAAAAAAAACTATGATGTTGCTTATCGTTTTGAAGGCTATTGTTATTGTTACGTATTAATCAAGGTTTTGCAAGGATCTTTGGAAATTACCAGTATACAAAAACATCTAGTTTAAAATTTGCAAGCACCACCTTGCAAAATTTCTTCATGTTAAAATGAATTTAAATGAAGTTGTTCATGCTTTAGCTAGAAAAAGAGTCTTCTTATAACTAGTTCCTTTTTGGATTGTAATTTGTATCTATCCTCTTTTATAGTTAACACAATTATTGTGTTTAGACTTTACTACTTCTCGATGTATATAAATTCCGATTTCATCCGGATAGAAACTGTATAATTTTCATAGGACTATATACAAAGATTTCTATAAATCGTAAAAAGACTTGCATCATCGATTATATCGAAGAACTTATAAATCTGTTAGATAAATTGATGATATACAAGTTAAATCTGTTAAATAAATTGATGATCTGGACAATGTACATGTCGCAGGCTATATGATACAAGGTCTCACTAATCACAAGTTAAGTCCAGACTTCCAAATAACACATTCTCATTTTGAGCCATAGGTTTTGGTTCTACATAAACAAATAGAAATCTCTAAAGTGGATTTAAGATTATTCCATTGAAATTTTTTATTATCCAATTTAATTCCTCTGTACATTTTTTTTTTTTTTTTTCATTTCACCACAACCCAAAAATGAATTGCTCTTCAAATTCCCAAATCGATTCGATTTTCCTAACTCTCCCCAACTACTCAATCTTTGGTGTGATTCCACTATCCCTGAAACCTCCGACGACAAATCCTCCACCACCGCTATTTTTCTGCATCTCCGCCATGTAACTCCTCACCTCCGCCTTTATCATCTCCTGCACCACCGTCATAAACTCAGCTCTACGTCCGGCGACTGCTTCTCCTCTCCCCTCTACATCAATTTTCATTTGACTCTCAAATCGCGGAAACAGCAACGTGTTGTTGCTCGAACTCACGTTCTTTGACTCATGGCTGACGTCAGCTCCAGGCAGTGACAGTGACAGACTCAATGAAGTCGCCGGATCCTCAGACGACGAAGACATTTCCGCCGGCGAAGGCGCCGTGAATCCGCCGGAAATCGGCATTGGCTTGAAAAGCTGAGCAGCAACCGGAGACGGCGGAGATGGAATAGTGCTGGAGTCACTAACGTCGAATCCGGTGGGACTCTCCGGGCTCATATACAATCCAGTATCCACGGGAGGAGCAGAATCTAAGCTCATCGATCTCCTCTTCTTCGGCCGATCCTGATCCTCCTCCGTTGCCGTCGCCGCGAAATTAACATCTATCCCTCCGCTGCATTTCCGTTTAAGCGTCGAGTTCCAGTGGTTTTTCACGGCGTTATCCGTACGGCCGTTAAGAAGACGAGCTATCGTCGCCCATTTGTTACCGAACTTAGCGCGAGCGGAGACGATCGTCTCGTCTTCCTCCGGCGAAAACGGCCGATGCTCCACCTCCGGAGATAACTGATTACACCACCGTAATCTACAGGATTTTCCAGATCGACCTGGAATCGATTTACTAATCGCCGACCAATTCCTCGGTCCGTATTTCTCCACCATCCTCCTTAGCTGCTCGTCTTCTTCTTGGCTCCACGGACCTTTTACCCGATCCGCCATTGAATCAAACAGATCTTTTTGGTATTTATTTTCGGTCAGGGGAGGAGGAGGAAGGAGAAGGTCGACAAACTGAAAGAGAGGAAAAAAGGTATTTATATAGAGAAAGAGAGAAAGGGGAAAAGTAACCGGTAACGGGTTGAGACGGTGGAGAAAGTCATGGCCCCATGGGCACCGCTTCTTCCACGCAAGCGGTTTTGAAAGTTTTGGGATACAGCTGTAGGTGAACACGTGTCATGATCTCGCTGCGTCTATGTGTCTACTTCTCTCTTTTTTCTGTTACGCGATCGTACGATGGAGCGCGTGTGATACAGTCGAGGGGCGTAAAGCGAAAAAGAGAAGTGAGGTCACGCGTGTGAGAGTCGCGTGGGTTGTTGTGGGAAGTTAAAGCGACAAAATCACGGAAACCTACAAGGAAAGCTCTGATATTATTCGCACAATCTGAGGTGAAAATTTAGAAAGTTGTTTTAATTTTTTAAAGCAAAAATAAATAAATAAAATTTAAAATATCTGAAATAAAGACGATAACGGTTAGGTTTGGCCGTTTGGGTAAAGACAGTTTTTTATGCATTTCTGACTTTTGACTGGCCAAGCCAGCCTGTATATATCAATGTACTACCTTTTCTTTTACTTTTTTAAAATAAAAAAAATACAAAAACGCCTATTTTGAATTTTTTTGAAATTACATAAGTTTAAAGTAGTTACAGTTTTGCTGATAATGGACTAGGCAACAATAATGCCAGAATAAACGCAATAAAACAAAATTGTGATTACGGTTTCTTGTTTTTAATTAGTAGTTTAACTAAAAAATTAAACTGTCTTGAATGTTGAAATTAATACTATTGAACTTATCTTCTTAGTAGTACTATAGTTTATCTTTTTAACCAAAAAGAAAAAGAAATTCAAACCGCGAAATGCTACAAATTTGGGATATAATAAACATGAAATTCTTTTGCCAATTTCATGAAAACAGTTTTATGTTTTTTTAAATGGCTTTACGGAAACGGTTGCGAAATAAAAGTAGATTCAGTGTTCCAATTCAAAATAATACTAGTATATAGTATATAATACTACATGAAAAGAAATTTACGATATTAATAATTCATAATTCGATTTAATATTCTGTTTCATAAACTTGTTACAAAGAAACGGCCACAAAAGATAAAAGTGAGTGGTCGGAAAATTTTTAAAAACTGAGGTTTGATGACGTGGAGATAACGACAAAGAGAGTTGGCCAATTGGAATGTGAAATCATCACTTGCCATTTTTATTTAATTGAATTTAATAAAATCGAGCAAAATTCCAGGCTGTAATCCTCAACAAACAACTAACTGTCGTCCATTGAGCAGAACTGCCACGTGTCAGTTTGGACTCTTTTGAAAGGTGTGTAACTGTCTCTAACGTTAGTAACGCACTTCGTCCCAACGTCATTTGCACCTTCTCCCCAACCTTCCCTCGAACGGTTTCACAACTATTTATTTCATTTTTTTTTAATATATCAAATTAGTTACAAAAACCACAAAAAACGATTTGATGTGTCAATCATATACAGATATTAACCATTGATGATAGAATAATCGAATAATAAAAACCTTGATGTATATACATGAACCGGAATGTATAAACACGACAAATCTACTGAATTTTTGACGTTTTCCTAGCTTATCTACTATAATATTCTTGTATAGTGTGGAGATAAATTATACTAATTCTAAATCTGTGATGTTGAATTTAAACCGTACGTGAAAGTGTTAATTACAAGATAAAGTTGTGTTTATAGCATTAATTCGATTTATACACATTTCTCACAATGTCTTTTCAAGTAACCCGTTTCAGTTATTAAATTTGTAATGGTTGGCCCTTTATTGATAATACCCTCTTAATTAGTGTATAAACAGGGATCAATCAACTAAAAATGTTTGATATGTTAAAAAACATATATATATATATATATATTATTGGGTCGTTATATAATTGCACGTACTTTTGCTATGTACACCTAGTTAGATTTGAAAGGTGCACGTGAACATAACATATGGTGGATATTTATATGAGATGTGGAATTATTCCAATAATTCTGTGTATTGAAATTTGTAACTAAAATATTGGTAACAGGTTGTTGTCAAAAGGAACAAGACGGTGCACGATGCGAATAAATATATTGCGAGACCTAATAAATAAATTATATTATTTGCTGTTTGTTGTTACGATCCATGCTTATATTGTCGGGTTTGTTCTGGTAATTTTCAATTACTTTCTTTGTAGGGTTTCGCTAACATAAAAACCGTTCAATATATTATAATAACAATATGGTTTAACGAACGAAAAGATAATACAAACATACGGTCGTAAATCAGTCGGTGTGTGAGACGGGGAAAAACAAATGTATGTTGACTGAGTTCATTGTGCCAGTGGAATTAATAGACAACTTAAATTCGATTTCCTTATATATTCGTTTAACGTTTGGTGGAATCTTATACGAATGAAAATTGTATAGTCTTGTCACACACACACACACAAAATCGATTACGCGTAAATATGTTGCTCACGCATATGCAGCCGAAAAAAAACATATCTTCCGACTTGTGATTAATTAATTATCCGAAAGAAATTATGAATAACCTACATTGTTCATATTATAATCATAATGGATACATACAAATGATATGTATGTAAGGATGCTGTGGGCTCCTCTCTCAAAACTCCGTTGAGTGCGTGTTAGGCTTTCTTTAAAGTTTAACCATTCACGTTTTGATAATCGACAATTAGTGAGTTGGTTCGCGATTGAGTCTCTTAACCATTTTTACTCAGAGATTCACGGGAGGATTGAAAATTTAGTTGGATTCCATACTAGAACGGAATATGATCTCCCATCACTTATGCATATATTAATGTCTTTGTAGTCTTTTATAATTACTCTTTGTATGCATCACTTGTTGTTTTTGATGTCTTATTCGTTTTGATTTCATAAAATCCAGCTGAAAAGTTAATTGGTTTATATGTATAGGAAGAAGTTTGTAGGTGACGTATATTTGCTGGGTCACCCACCCACCCGCTAAAGAAATAAGAATCATGTAGAGCTCCAACTTGGTCCAGAGGCAGCGTTCAAAGTTTGATACCTTAAGCCTAGTCTTCTTTGTCCACAAGCGATTGCCGATTGGATCCGACGATGAGGAAGCATCATACCTCCCTCTCGACAAATTACGAGTTTGGGAAGAACAAAAACATGTCCGGATAATAATCCCATTAACCTGTTTAAAAAAATATGTAGTTTATTCATTGTTTTTAAACTTTCTAAATTTGTTTAAAATTAACAAAAGATTGAAGGATACAAATTTTGACATTTTAATATTATCCAAAAAAGACGTGGTTTTCACTGGATATATTAAAACTCTTCATGATTAGGTTGTTACATTTCAATAGCAAAAGAATAGCGAAAATAAATTTAGATGATCTTTTCAAGATTGAATGATACAAATTTTGACATTTTTAATATGATCGTTAAAAATATAATCTGTTTATAATGTTTGCATTTTGTATGTTTTTGATATACATTTGACAATAAAAAAAAGATGTAGATTTGAAAACTTTGTATTAATTTTCGTTCATAAATCACATCATATTATTTTTTTTCACGTTTTTCATATCACCTTTTTTGTAACATCTTATATTATTGATTAACTTAAGTGATTTCACATATTTATTCATTTTTAATTTGAGTTTTTTTAAGAGAATTTTTCATCTACCTTTATTTTAGAAAAAAAGATAGAGGAAAATCATCTCCATTTTACCTCTAACTTTAATTTTAAAATTTATGATGCTATTTCTACTGCTATATTTGGATGAACTTTATTTTTTCCTCTGTAATAAAGATAATTTTTTAATTTGTAAATTGGTCTTTTAACTTATATTTTTTTATTTGTATAACAAATATAAAAATTAATAAACTGTTGACATGAATTATTTTTTATAAATTCAGTAAATATTTATGTATCCAATATAAAAGATTAATAAATAATCAATAAATATGAATAAATTTGATAACTTTGGTTATAGTTTGGAAAATTTTGAAAGCATATAATATAACTAAATATGAAAAAATTGTACTCATTTTAAACTCAATTATAGATAGCATTAAAAATTGAAATTGAAAAAGAAAAGAAAAAAATTGTTTAATTTTTAATATTTTCAATAATTTATAGAAGTTTTTGAAAAAAAAGTTGAGTTAATTTATGAATTTTATAAATAGAAAATAAGAATAATAAATAAGAAAATGAATATATTTAAAAGAAAATATATTATAGAGAAAATTAACTCTATTTTTAAAAAATATATAAAACAAAAAGCATTGGAGATGGTCTAACACTCTTAACCATCATCACCGTCCGATATGCTCCGTAGTATTGGAAAAGACAACAGTATCACTTGTCATGTTCACATATTGACCGACGAAACTATTTCTCAAATTTAGCCGCTTATTCGCCGACTAGAGACTTTCCGTACTTATCAACTACACGTGTTGGACTGTTGGGTTTCTCTTTTGAGACACGCACGTGTGTATAACACTCACAAGCATGTGTGTGCATCTTAACCAGTTCAATGGTTTTAACTTTTAACCGGACAGAATTTTCAGTAGCATAAAAGCGTTTAGACTAAATGGGCATGGGCCATCTTGATCTACGTTCGATAACCTTCGGGCCCAAAATGTCTCGCTAAATCACGTCGTCATCTCTTAAGTTCCTTAGAAACCCAACGGTGAAAAATACTGATAGTATGTTGTTTTCATTGATGTATTTTTGTAGGCCATTTGTTGAAGGCTCTCTGTAATATAAACTAGAAAAAAAAATATCTCCCTTTTATTTTAGCGAATTTTTAGTAGCACAAGTTGGATTTTTCATCATTTTGAGATTATGGGTGCTTCTTGTAGGTCACATGGAAATATCAATCATTATAGAACCTACTATGGTGCTTAGTAACAGGCTGGATGCGAGAGTTAGGGTTTAAAGTGACCAATGATTTGAAATTTCGAATTATTTTCAGGCTTTAAAAAAAATTGTATGTGGACTCGTGAGACTTACATTTAATGTTTAGTCGTCTTACCTGATAGGTTTAGTACTTTTAGTATAACTCAAATGACTTTGGACTGGTAATACAAAAATAAAGAGACCCAATGTTGGATTTTCCATGGACTCGTAATCATTAATCATGATGATGACAACTTTGGTTCATCAACGAAAGTGAATGCGATGTTTCCACTGGTCTGTGGTTAGTAACTTAATAGGGATAAGTGCAAATGAGTTAATTTACATTGAAAGACACTTTATATCTTTCCAACTACATTTAAAAGTACTTATGAAAAAATGTGTATTTTGACCACACAAAAAGACCAAACAATCTCCCAATTTTATCCTTTTTCATAAAAGACCAAACAATTCCCCTATTCTATTATTTTCCCATCGTCTCTTTCTCTGTTATATCAGTCGGCACCCATCATCACCACAGCCAATCCTACTAACACTTCCGAAGAAATCTCATATCAGATCAGCGATTCACACCCTATTCCTGCCTCGCCAACTCGTCTCCCCCACTCTTTTACTGATTTCTCTCATCTTCTCATTAACCATATTGCTCTCTCCCTTTAACTCGATTTCAATACCTATACCGCATATTTTGAGAAGCTATTCTTCGATTTAAAAGAAGATGAAACTTTCATGGATATGGATCGATGGATTGTATAATATGGACAGTTACTCATGGTCATGTGATTGTGGATAAAATTTTGATTCTTGGGTAGAGAAAGTCAAGAATCTGTCCATGAGTGTTTGTATCGCAGGTTTCGATATAGTTTGTGTCGAAGAGATTGTGTTTATATGTTATGTCCATAAGAATCCGTCTATGAGTGTTTGTCCATCACAATATGTCAATAAGAATTCGTCTGCCTGTGTTTATTCATCACAATATGTCATAAGATCAACATCAGTGGCATAGGGGAAAGGTACGAAGACCGGTGGATCTCCACCGCCGAGAGAAGCTGAGCCATCTTGAATTTGGGAAGAACCACAATTGTCCAACCTAATGCGATGAAGCCCGTCGCAAATCCTTGGAAGCCGAATATGTGGCACATTGGGATTGTGCAGATGGGTTACTTCTCTAATTCGAACTAGGTCCGGTATGCTTGTACCAAGGCAATGAGGTTGCAGTGACTCACCATTACACCCTTGTTCGTCTTTGTCGTGCCCGATGAGTACAACAGAGTTGTCCTGGTCGATTCGGTGCTTGATTTAATGTTTGCAATAATTGAGTGAAATTGGAGAAATAATTGAGTGAAATTGGAGAAATCAGAAGAGTAAAGTTGAATTTATGTTTGAGGTTTGAGAGGAAAAGAAGGATTTAGAGAAGTGGAGAAGTGAAGGAGAAAGCATAAATCAGGTTGAAAAAGGAAATCCTGCAATTGTCGACGACCTCTTAGCTAGGGCAATAGAACTTTGTCTCTAACTTCCCTAAAATTATTTATACTTTATTAAGGATAGTTATGGATTTTCAAGTTCTAAAAAAAAGAGGAATCAAAGTAAAGTTCTCTACTAGTTGAAAGTACCTATAAATATAAATTAAAACTCATAAGTATCTTTGAATGTAAACCACTTTTGCAAATAAACTCTCAAACTAAATTAATTTTGCAAGATGAACTGATTCTATTAATCACATTCACTTTCGCAAATGCAATGTTTCTACTAGCCGTACAAAACGACATAGTTTTAATTTCTGCTTATAAATTTTAACAAAAGTTTTTAACAAAAAGTTAATATACACGTAAACAATATAGGAAATGATTATATTACTGGTTACTTTTGAAGTGAATAGATTGATCTGCATATTTTTGATGTGAAGGTTGATCTTACAAAATAAATTTAGTTGGAAGATTTATTTGCAGTTATCCCAACTTAATATTAATAAGCTTTACTCTGAAATGGCTTCATTGAGTTTAAGCTTTGTGACATTGAAGATTTGTTATACTGATTAATATTTGTAACGTTATCAAACTCTTTCCTCTACATCAAAGGATCTGAGGATGCTTCCCTAATGTAATGCCTCGGGGGAAAAGATTAATTCCTAAACATTTTATGATTTATGTCATTATGTGTCTTTAGTGTTTAGAATTAGTGTCTTTTTTTTTTTTTTTTATTGAAAGAAAGTATTAATATTAAAAAGAAAATTAGAGTGCAATAGAGAGCTACTACTTCCAATACCTCTGAGATTTCAGAACAAATAGTCCTTCTGAGTGGGTTTGGTTTTGGACCTTTTGGTACATTCACTCCTTTTCAACCAAAAGCTTCAATTTTTTACTTCTATTTATTTCTGAATCTCTTCAATGCTATTTGGTCCTCTGTAACAAACAGGACTCTTCATGGAAGGTATTTTAATTAATGTTTTGACATGACATAGCAATGGCAATATAAGATAAAAAGTGATAATGTTGTACGTATGTTATTGTATATCTCCACACTGTTTTGCTTTTCACCACAACTGAAAAGAAACAAGTACTTTAAAGTTTAAACCAACCCGATTGTTTGGTCTCACTTCATATCCTTTCAAATCAAAAACCTCTTAAAATGGGGAACAATAAATAAAATAATTTGAACACTGCTTAAGAAGATAAAAGAGTTTTATTTGATTCTCCAAACCATTACTTGTCCAACCAACTATCTAGTTGTCTCTTCAATTCAAAGGACAATTTTCTTCAAATCTGTACCAAGTAAATAACCAATAATGTCTGAATTTTTTCAGACAAGGACGAGCAAGATAATGGAAATATTGTTGCTTATGAAAGATCCTCACAAAAGAAGACAACTTTCTAGTCTTTGATTTGTTATCTTTCCATGACAATTGCAAAAGATGTAAGGTGAGATATTAGATCATCATTCAACCATGAACGAAACAAGATCATAAGGAATCTTTTTAATGTAAAGAAAATAAACATCTCTGTTTTTTTTTTCCGATTTATCAAATACTGAAAAGTACACCATTTGAAACCGCCCATAAACACAAGAGCCAGAGTAAAACGCATAAATGTTTTTCTGCCTTACCATAGCCGATAATATGTAAAACAGGGGAAACACATTTTTTATGTTTCTTAAATCGACAGATTCTTGGATTCGGTTGTTGAAATTATTAGCGAGGGCTACTAAACACATCGAGGAACATTCTGTTTATTGAAGACAACCTCATTTGCTGCTCCTGCACTCTCCTCCTCTTGAACAAAGGCTCTGGAGAAGATGATGAAGACACTGAAGCAGAAGCAGAAGCTGAAGCAGACACAACCCACGACTCGTTCGAGCTGTCAGAGCTGAACGATGCATCGAACACACCGATTGGACTAGCGGGTTGCATCCAGTTCATCATCCTCTTCTTGCTTGGACTGTGCTCTAACACTAACTCATAGCATTTATTTACTTTCTCCTGTTTTTAAAGTAAAACGATGATGGGAATCAGTTCTTGATCTTAAACACTAATTACATTTCCAAAAAACTATTTCTAACTCTTGAGTTATATAATACTACTTACCGAATCAACTTTGAGTAGAGTCATGAGCTGAGATTCGTATTCAGCTTCGTCACACGTCTTGAAATCTCTAACGACAGAGACCATTATTGCAGTGGCTAACACAGATGGGCTAAAACTAAGAAACCTCGAATCTGATAAAACCAAGAACAACAACAAATTCAGCACCAAAGGAAATCCCTATAGATCCCAACGAAAACCATGTGATCTAAAGGAAGCGTTACCTGGAACAATGGAGAGCAACAGCGACTCACATCTACTCAAGAACTCCAATTGCTGGTGAAACTTAGAGCTGAATCGACGGATAATGTGGTCGAAAAAGGAGATTGGAGTCACAGGATGCATCCTCCATTGAAGAGTAGAGAGAATCAGAAGCTCCATTCTCTGTATGGTTTTAGCCTCAAAGACATATCTTGCTTCTTCCACCTTTTAACAACACACAAAAGAGGAAACTTCAAGACTAAAAATCGGCATTTCAACGAACACTCAAGCGACATTACACAAATTGAATCTGAGAGAGCAAACTTACTTGGAGATCTAAGAGCAGCGGGACTCGGATCTCTTCAACCTTAGCAGCTAGAGACAAACAAGCCACAGCTGTAAGCTGAGACATCCATGGCTTATCTGTCTGAAACATCCTGCTTGTGATGAACCTGTCGAAGTAGTTCACAGCGAGAAGCGCCGTCAACGAATTAAACCCGTAATGAGACTTCACTCTAAAGATCCAATCAAGAGCCTTCTCACGACAGAGAACCAGAAACTCATCTAAGATTCCGTCTTCGTAAAGACACGGTTTCAACTCGTCCTCTTTCGAAATCAAACCCAATAACTCATCGTCATCCCAAAACATGTCATGATCGAGAAAACCCAGATGAAAAAACGGAAACTTTGCAGCACTCTCGCCGGATTTCTCGCGTAAATCTACGTCTTCTCCCTCATCGAACCCACTACTCTCTTCCTCGCAGAAAAGCATACAATACGGTGCGTTTTGAACCTCCTCCTCTTCTTCTAAAGCCATCTTCCTCTTCGGAGAAGAAGAGATTGTAAGATTCCTTTGTTCATACTGCCATTAGAGCTCCCCCCTATGACTCTCTCTGGATTCTACTGTGAAGAGAAAAGGAGTGAAGACAAATGCCAAGAAAGTGAAGGGTTTTAATCTCACGCTTGTCCTCTTTTTTTATTTTTATTTCGGTTTTTATTTTTATACTTTTTTAAAAATAATTTATTTTCTCTCTCCTTTTTTTTTTTTTGTCTTTTATTATTCGGATGTTTGGCGCGCGAGAAAATTGATGAAACCGTACTTCTTCTTTGTTTTATTCTCAGGAATGGAAAAATCTTCCCTTTTTTATTTATTGTTTTTTCAAAAATACTGTATAAACTGAATTAAATAGGGATAAATTAATTAGAATGGGTTGGTTTTATAGAGGCAGCTACTTAGCAAACGATACGTATTAATACGAAAATATTTATCCACGCGCTTATCACGTGGGTGTTACACGCTCTTAATCCCTGTTCGTACGATGCGACCAATGCTGGCGCTTAGTTGGAGAGTGTGATTCACGCGCTATTGTGGTGCTGGTGAAATTATCATTGGAATATAAATCGTTGACCATTAATTATCTTTGTCACCTTTCGGTTTTGAGCATCGATGATTACAAGTAAAGATTATTGTTTGTTTTTCATTAATACATTCGTATAAAATATTTTTTTAGTTATTCACCCGAATATGTTATTGATAATTATAAAATCTTGAAAAACAGTAAAGTGTTAAATCAGCGTTTTTCATTTTAAAGTAAAATATTTATAATTATGTTTGGATAATTGGGTCTTGCATCTGGTAGAAATGTTCGAAACATTCAAATAAATTTATGAGTATATGTCTTTCTTTTCCCGTCAATTAAATAATAAATATGTTATACGGAAGGGGATGATTCAAATTGATATAATAATCATATAAAATCACTCGTGGGGTCACTTATGTCAGAGAAAAATCCATGTGGACGAATGAGAAGCTTTATATGGTCAACGAGCTGACATAAACATTTGAAAAAGCAAAAACATAAACAACATTTAGAATACAAAAATAATATATAAAAAAAAAGACCTCGTTCTGTTAAAACGCTCGCGCTTTTATATTGTTTTTTTATACTATTAAACTAGTTTATTATTTTCTTTGTGTCTCCTAGAAAGGTCTTTTCTAAATATAATAGCATCTTGATGCACATTTTAATTTTAATTTCTCGCTGCTTTATATGCTAATTCTAAGACTGAGGCCTAGAAAGCCGATTAAAACGTAAATGTATTCGCTGTACTATTAAAAAGGTTGTACCAAACTTTAACGTTCAAGATACATAAATGCCACTCATATTATAAAAAAAAATATCGTATAATTGAGTCTATTTATGATAATGTGGAACAAACAGTAAGCTATTAGTTAGTACAAAATACAAGACAAGCGTACAATATTTTAAAATTCGGTAAATGTAAATATCAATTAAATTTAATGCAAGGTAAAAAGTTATACTATATGTATGTGTGACGGCAATACTACATGTATATAATTTTTATTATAATAATAAAAGTACGTACTATATGCTAAACAAACAAACAAATCAGTTTTTGTAAGCTAAAACATAGTGAAAGACTGTTGTTGTTACGTTTACTGCGTTCCTACCGCCTTAGACGCGGTTAACAAAGCAATAAGTTTTACTTTTAACACAAATATTCATGATCTTTATCGATAGTGAAAGAAAGCAATGTGTGGTGAAAGAATTAAAAATGAAAAAGCAAAAGACAAATAAATAAGGGAATGGGGAAAAGTAAATCACGAGAGGGAGTGAAGCCATTGGTAACAAGCGGAGTCTGAGATTTGTACAAAGTTTAATAGTGACTTCTCACTACCACATTTCATATCTCTCTTTCAAAAACAAAAAAGTGAATCTCCTTATCATCTCTTTCAAATGCATTCTGTTATGTAGTCTCTATATGAAACAATCCCATTTGCTTTATTGTGAATTTGGTTGATATAGTTCGCCTAATTGTCAAACAAAAACTATAATCTCTAATTTTTGTACCATCACACAACTTTCGAAAATTCTGATTTGTAGTTTTCCTATTTAAACATTTTAATGGTAATTATTTCTATTTTTGTTAATCAAATTCTATGTATTTTGTTATGCTTGCTTTTTACCTAAATGTGTCTACACTTGTTAAATAACACTTTGTCAGTGTATTTAATACTTGATTTGCAAATTTGTGTTAAACATATTAATGACATCTTTTAGTTTTTGAACACAGGTTGTAAGGAGACAAGATTATGATAACAATGGTCTAAGAAATCGGACAATAAGCTTTTATTTAATGGTCAACAAGTGGAAGGCAAGAGAGAGGAGTCTTTTGTTTTAGTATCATTTTTATGATACTACTATTAAGTACTAACAACAAGTTGATTAGATTAAGGGGATGTGTGTGTAAGTGTTGTGTTGTGTTGTGTTGATTAGATCGAAGAAGGTTTTTGGGTCATAATTAATAATGGCGTCTTGTCTGCCAGAAACTAACGCCGTACGCTAACTTTCGATCTCCCTCTTCCTACTCTAAAATACTCTTTTATTTTTTTATTTAATCAGTTCTATCATTGATAGTATAAAAGTATAAGTGTACACAATGTATTAACAATTTCTACTGTTAGGTGTCACCCATTTACTGTTAAATGTATTGCCTAGCTTTGCTCCTATTCCTTATAGTGTTTTGTGCATTTCTGTTTCTTTAATACTTAAGAAGTTCCATGCTTTTGGTCAAGTTTCTTTTCGGTCAAATAACATACTACCATCTAACTTAAGGCTTGTTCAATGTTCACACTGTCTAATGTCCATGTTCAAACTCAGTCTGTTTTTATTTTCCCTGTTTAATGTATTCGTTTTTCTGCTATTTTCGATTTTCGTCTACATATCAGTTTGGTATTTTACGTCTTCTACCAATAATTTTGTGGTTTTGATTCGATTAGTAATTCATTTCGACAAAAAAGTGAAGATATATGTTACTAAAATAAAGACTGTTTTTTTAATAAGAAAATATTACATTGTTCATAAGAGAAAGAATTTATATATATATTTTGTTATTTGTTTTATTGTTATACAATAGTACATATGTATTGTAACTTCACTATTATTTTGTGTTAGCAATTAAAAGATTATATAAATATTTTTTCAATTGAAAACTTACATATATTTCATATATAAAGTGTAAAAAAAACTCTTCTTTTAATAAGCCATGATAAAAGCAAAATTAATATTAGAGTTTTTAAAGAGGATTTAAATTTTTTAAGTAAACCGATCAATTCAATCTTAAAAAATTTAACATAATCAATTATGGATTTTTTTTAAACAAAAAATGTCGATCACTTTTAATTTTAAAACTTATTGGGATATCAATCCAAGTCCCACATCGGAAGATTAGACAATAATGGTCTAATATATAAGTAATATCCAACTCTCATTAGTATGAAGCCTATTGGGAGGAGCCCAAAAACAAATCCGTGCGGGTTTTACCACTTAAACCCAAAGCGGACAATATCATACTAATTAAAGAGTTTGTCATGGGCTTGAAAAGCCCAACAATTGGTAGCAGAGCCAAGGTTCAGATTAAGTGGACCTTGAGAAATAGGTTGGGCCTACTTGTTCGTTGTGGAAGAGTCCTCAATGTGACCTTGTGATTAAGAGTGTTTCGGTACAAGATGGTACAAGATGGATGCCGAATTTCGCAGAATGTTAAAAGCAAAGGGCGTGTATGGTCCTTTGCATGAGGGGGGATTATTGGGATATCAATCCAAGTCTCACATCGGAAGATTAGACAATAATGGTCTAATATATAAGTAATGTCCAACTCTCATTAATATGAAGCCTATTGGGAGGAGTCCAAAGACAAATCTGTGCGGACTTTACCACTTAAGCCCAAAACGGACAATATCATACTAATAAAAGAGTTTGACATGAGCTTGAAAAGCCCAACCAAACTGAAATCAAATTCAACGCACCAAACTTTGATTAGGTTCGATTTGGTTCGACCAATTTAATTCATTAAAAGAGTTTTAATTGCAAAATTCACTGTTACATTCTATTGCTATTTAGTTAGTAAGCACTAAGATGTTAGAGTGTTAGGTAACATAATAATTTTTTTTGCTCCGATCCACATAAATTTGGTAGAAAAAATATCCACATTTTCATGATTTTCCATCATTATTGGTACGTTCTCATTATTACATAATCTAACATCATTACCACCAACCTAATTACTAGTACCAGTTCATAATTATAGACATAGTATTAAGATAAAATACAATCTGACTACGTGTGTCAGAATTCCTTTGAAATCTCAACATGTTTTTGGAGTCAAACCTGGAAAGTTAGCCGTTTATAGACCTCGTCACTGTTCTTCCTATAATTGTTTTTCTCGGTTGGAAAAAAAGAGACAACCAAAAGAACATGTAAAATAGAGTATTATTTTTGTTATGTACTATTATAAACTTACCAACAAATTATTGCAGTTCACAAAGATATGCACAAAATAAAAGAATACAAAACCACATATCGTAAAAAATGGATACATGTGAATTCTTACTTTGCAACAAATTAAACATTTATATCCCTTGTTAAAGGAAAAGAAGGAAAATCAAAATGGTAAAAAGTAAAAAGAGAAAAACAGGCTGGTGATGGGGCCAGGTCTTTATTTATATAATTATATCTAATTCTATATACGCAATTACTAAATTCTAAAAAAATACTCCAATCAACCTGTAACTCCACGACAGAGGCACAGCTGAAGCATGGGTGAATTTCCAAAGCGACGAAAAATAAAATTTAAATTCAAATAATAGTTACATACAGCTGCCACCCGTTCTTTTTCTCTAAATAGTAGTAACATTTTGCGATGACCAGAAAATAGAGAAACAAATTTAATTTATTTTTCTGCCAATTTATTTATGGTCAATGTTTCATACATGAATATGAATGGAGTCCTTAACTATTACTCTCTGAATTATTTTGAAGGAGCTGTCCATATATATGGGTATATTTGGAGAAAAAACTGTGAAATAAGTGTATATTTTTTTGATATTTTCTTACTTACTATTTATATTTTGTAAACGACTTACTTTACTAAAATATTCTTATTTTTC